AAATTTTCTATTTTATACACTCCCTCTTTGATTACGAAAAAATATATGTACAAAGTTGAAAAATAATCGCAAAGTCTTTGGGCGAAAATAGGCTGTATGTTTTCTAAGAAACAAATTGTCGAATTTTCAATAAAAGAGGATTTTTATTAGTAATTGTTAACTATTAACATTATATTACAAATTTACACAATTGATTACAATTTATACAGATAATTACAATAAGTGTAAAACTTTACTAACAAACGGTATTTACAATGTTGTATGTAACTTTACTACAGCTTCGTTACATAAATTCACATTTGGAATCATATTTTTTTTTGTAAAATACACATAATTGTGTTAAAAAAATAATAAAATCTCAAAATTTAATAGATTTTCTACGAAAATATCTATATGCTCTATATTTTTTACCACACTGCTGTCGAAATTTTCTTAAATACTTTTGTAAATATTTCCAAATTTTCTAGAAATTGTACCGAAAAAAAATAAATACCACAAATTATTACACATAAATTCTATTTAAGCAATTATTACATTCATGAAAGTTGCAAAAGCAACGCACATAAGTATGGGAAGAAAATAGTACAATCTTAAAATAAAACGCAAACAATATTCAGACGTAGGTAGTCAACAAATGAATTTGGACAATTTTGTTAAAGAGCATTGGGTTTTATGTCTTTATACAGAGTGTTTTGGATAAGAACCGACACAGAGCAGGGTCATGTAGGGGTAGAGGAACCCAAAATGTGGCGATTTAACGCAACTTACTTTTATATTAAGCTACACCCCTGAGAAGTTATAGGCTTTGAAAGTTACACTTGAACTTAAAAAAAAAACAAATTTGGTACACGGTGTGAGTGTACCAAGAGAATTATCAACAATAAGTAGAGTGCATTTTAAAGAGTTGATAAGGGATGATGCATCATTAAAGTGTGACAGAATTTTTTACCCGTTTGCTGACTTAAAAAATTATGACTTTATTTTATGGGGAATTTAATTCTAACACTTTTCTTACTCTTGTTAATTTTCAAAAACTTTGTCGTTTTCAACAAAAACACGAATAACTAATAATACGTATTGTAGCTGTGTAATTTAAATAATCGAAAATTCCAAAGTTAGCTATGAATTTAAACGTCAAACTTGACGATCGGGAAAAGAAGTTAGAATAAACCTACCTTTATCTACACTGGCTTTATATTAAACGTACAGTGACCTCAACGGAGTCCAAGCATTTTGCTGCCGCCATTAAACGGCGAGTGTCAAAATCGATAACATTTTCTATATATATTTTATTAAATTATTTGACTTTTGTAGCACCAAACACCCATCCACTTGTACCTACATAAGTTATAACAACCGATATAATTATATTTTTGACTAGTATCTTCTTTTATTTCATAGTTAATTCAATTAAAATGTAGTAGTCCAGTCTGAAACATTTTGGCTACCAATTTTTTCGGATGGAATGAATTGACGTGAAATTTGAACTGTAGCTAGTCCAAGAAACAAAAGTTATATAGTGCCGATGTGTGCTTTTACTCTAGGGGTGGATGCCACCCCTTCTGGAAGGTGGGAAATTTTTTATTGAAAATAACCTCACTATCTGATAGAGTGACGAATTCTAAGCAAAAAATTGTTCTATAAGAATTTTTTGTACAGTCAATAATTTTTGAGTTATTTGCGCCTAAACATGTTCATTTTTAGCCCAAAAATGCATGTTTTTGAGCCATTTATCGCGAATATCTCAAAAACAACAAGTTTTATCAAAAAAATGATCATAAGCAAAAATGAAGGTAATTAAATAGCAAAAAGATTGCTTTTTTAAATTTTTGTAGGTAGTATAGAACCCGAGTTATGACTCCCAGAAGTTTAACGTCCTGTAGCGAAAAAATTAAAGGGTTTGCTAGGAAAACTTATATAACGCTTATAGTTCATGAAAAGACCTTTAAATTGAGTGGTTGTAAAAGTCGCTAGCATGAAAACTAATGAAGTTACAATCAAAATAAAATGATTGTCTTGATTTTTGAGAGAAAAAAATGGTATTAAAATTAATGACTTGATGGAAAAAAAACAATTAAACGTATTCCTTCTGCAATTTATTTTATTTATAACAGTAAATTCTGGGAATTTGAACGATTTTAGAAGCCTAAATTTAAAAAATATTTCATTTACTTTTGAATAAAATTTTTAATTTTTTTAAAAAATAGCCTTTTTTCAAAATATTTCAAAAACTAACAAAGTTATAAAAAAAATGATAGAATAAGAAATTGTAGGTTTTTTCTTACTGAACAATTTGCTTTTTTTTAAATTTTTGTAGGACAAAATTTGACTGAGTTATGACCAATAGAAGCTCAAAACTAAGCTCCAAGACTGCCTTTCCTGAGCCCTTTTAGCTTACAAATCTAAAAAACGAAGGGCTCAAAAAAACTGAAAATCACAGAACTTAAAGTGCTTTAAATTCTCTACAAAATTGTTTTTTTGAGTATCTAAATTTATAACGTTAAAATCACAAAAGTTATGGTAAAAAAATTATTCGCATTTTTTCGGTAAAATTTTTGGAGCGGGTAAATTACCATCATCTTTGTTATTTTGGAGCACTTATGAACTGATTTAAGTAAGTACTTTAATAATATACATACACACACGTATCCGAGTTAATATGTATTTGATATTAATTTAATAAAAAAATATTAAGAATAAATTCAATAAAATTAAAAAAAATAATTATATCATACTCATAATTTTTAGGAAATTTTTCTATAAGGGGTAGGGTTTTTTATGAGGGGTAGGTCTTCCATAAGGGTTTTTTGGGTGGATGAATAGTTGCAATGTATCATAGATCATTTGAAAACCAATAAAAAGTTTATAGTTCAACATATGCGTACCATTAAAACATCTCAAGCTTTCAATAATATTTTTTTTTTATTATAAGGAATGATTTTTAAGGGTTGCAACTTTGTAATTAGTCGTAAGCTTTCCAATGAATAACAAAAAAAATGGAATACATTGTGAATGCACCAAAAGAAAATTTTAAACTGTTAAAACCTTTTTTTCCTACTTTTTTGGCCATTGAAGGGTAATTTTTAAAGATTTTTAAGGGTTGAAAAGTAATTAAATTTCATAAATTATACTAAAAAACTGAAAGGAACTTTATCCAACATATTTGAACATAAATTAAATCTTTAAAATACGTAAATCTGTGATTTCGCATTTTTTCCGTATAAGGGTAGTTTTCACCCCCAAATAGAAAAAAAGCACACATCTAGACAATATAACTTTTGAAGTGGGGGGCTCATCAGATGAACTTGTATGCAAATTTTCAGGAAAATCCATGCTATCCGAAAAAATTGGAAGGTTTTACCTTATTTTCGCCTTCAGTGACTGGACTATAGGTAAACGCCAAAGTATTGTCGAATTGGCAGGGCTTATGCTTCTATTGATGCCGCTGTATTTTATGTAACCACTGTAATTGTATCGACTGAAGTAGAGACCTGTATACTATTTCGTTACTAATTTTGTGGTTGTTATTTCTATGGTGACTATGTCCTACCTACCGGTCCTATCCCTAATCTTAGGACATATGAGGGCTCGACATTCTTAAACAAATCGAGACTTTTGAAATATCGACAATGACTAATAATATAAAATTATGATTTTTAAGTTAATTAATATTCTACTATCAGAAAATTTGGTAGACATATGAAATGTTATTAGTATGCGTGGTATTATTGCACTATGGTTTTTGGTACGAGTGTTTCATTTTTTCATACTTCTAGGATGAGATTGGAATTAGAATTAGAACTCTATAATAAGTGATCACAAAATATACAGAGTGTTACAATAAACTTGCTGTGAAAAAGTGTTTTTAGATTTTAAAAATTCCTCTAAATAAAAAAGTTACAGACGATTTTCGAAAATGCCACATTTACTTTTTTTTAAAATAACTCAAAAAAACCTGAAGGTTAGGACCGGTGTGCAAACGCCATTAAATTAGCAACAGAACTGTCTAAAACTTTCTCCATTAACCATTTTCCTATCTCTTATAGTTTCTAAGATACATGCATCACTAAAATGGTCCACACTGTATATTTGGACAAAATTTAGGAAAAAAATCAGTTTTAAACTATATTTGAAAATTTCAATTTTTCCGCAATTCTTCGTCATGCATGAATTTTTGACTACAAGATCATGTTCAGCGCATCGAATTCTTTCGGAAATGATATGTGGGTCTCTTGGGTTTGGACTTTTTTGTGTGCCTGTGTTATTAATCTTTGTTTGCCTGGTTTCTATGATTAATCACCTCTCGCGTACTAATTAATTTAAGTAATTTTATCGTCAACGTTAAAATTTTTACTCCTTTTTGCGCCAATTATATCAATATTTCGAAGCACTAGCGTACAAAAATGAGTATTTAAATGATTATTCATATTTCAACTTTAACAAGATTTGAAAAAAAAAGCAGCCTAAGTGATAAGTCGATTATGTTCAAGAAAAAATTATTATTTCCGACCAAAGAATAGGTGGCCAGCGTCCCGACCTAAATTTTTGCAACACCCTCTATATTTTGCAATTCAAATTGATTGTTTATTATTGATTACTTTTTACTACTAAAAACCAAATACAATAATACCACGCATACCAATAACAGTGTACGTATTTTGATACACTGTATATTTTAATAACAAATTAAATGCTTATTCCTTAATAAATCTAAACCGTGTTATACAATTTTGTAGTAGGTATCAAGTAAGGCATTCACACGCATAAAAAGGAGAGATTAGTCTCGGGCAAATTGGTTTGATCTTACATATCTGTTTATATTTTGGTGTTTACTACCCATAACGATATTTTACGCCACTGGACATGGGTAAATGGAGAAATGTTGAGCAACGATTTTTAACTTTTTACCGCGGACAGCTTGATGAAATCGAATAACTATTTAGTTCTATTGTCTAGTTACCAGCCGATTCAATGTATTGCAAGGAATTTCTGTTTTGCAGGCACTTAAAAATCCAGATTAAATCTTGCTTGATGCAACTAATAACCCAAGGGAAGAAGAAATAAGTGAAAATGGTATATGGTGCTGCATCAGGGATATACACTGTATACGGTGAGTAATTTTACTTTTATATTCATATGTTGTTTCTGTAGAAGGGATAAATAGGTACTGTCACAATAATAATAATTTGCCGCATTAACTTCTGACACATTTGTGCAAGACCGTTTTGAGTAATACTTATTTAAACGGTATCATTTGATTGCAAAACATTGGTGATCTAAGAAATATTCAGTTGTTTCATAATAAAAAAATTGTATAATTCTCAAATCTAGAAGTTTGTGCACCAAAATTCGTATTTTATATATTTATTTATTTAACATTTCTAATTTATGTCTATATGAACGCCATTTGCTAAAATTATTTCTAACTAAACGTGTGTTCAGTTTTGTTCCGGTGACTTTTTTAGGTTTAATTAACGCAATGTTTTTTTGTTCGAACAAATTGTCTGTAACAGTGTATCATTTTTATTCAATTTAAGAAAGTGTAGTCACTTATGCGTAAACTTAAAAAATATATAAAAATTCCATTTCAACAGTAATCAAAATTTTCCTTTCTCTGAAAAATATTTATTGCGTATTGCATCTGACCTTTTCTTTTTGTTGATATGTTTTTAATTTTAAAATGCTTTTCAATCAATTATTTACTACATTTAAAAATGAATGACAAAATGACAGCAAGTGCCTCTGTTTGGCTACCAAAACATTCAGTATTTTACTAGTTCCTCACAGAAGAGTAACAATAATTGACGGTGACATTTACTACTCCAGGTTTCAAAACAGTCTAAGCCGTTCTGGAAATATTTAAAAACTATAATAAATAAATAATTTTTTTTACAAACATATTTCACAATTTTCAAATTTTCGATGTTTTGCAAAAAGAGTAAAAACAAATTATTGCACAGTCTGTGAAAATATGTGAATTATTTTTGTAACAACTGCAAAGACAAATATATAATTGATTCTTTAATAGATCTTTTTAATAATGACGTTACATTTGGCATATACCTTAATAGGCAATCTCATAATTACGGCAGCGTTATAATCATAAAAAATATTTTAATTTTTTACTAGAGCGAATTTAGAACTTATGTTTAGGTACTTTATTAATTTAAGTCAGAATTGAAAATTTATTTTAAAATTTGTATTAGGACATTATTTGAGGTTATAAACAGATTTGTTTTATAAAAATGTTGTGTAAAATAATAAATAATGGTACTTCTCTTTTGAGTATGTTCGTGTTTTTTAATTTATGAGCACCCTGTAATCTAAGATGTTTGTATGACAGTCTCATTTTTTCGAGGAGCAGAAATTTTTATAAAGAATGACATTAGTCAAAAACAAAAGAATTTCTCCTCTTGTCAACTCCATCCGTGGATACACTGTATATACATTATTAATAAATTTTATTGTATTTAAATTCCCAAGTTTTTACTAAATTATTTTATTAAAAAAGTAAAAAAATTAAAAAATCTTATTTTTTGCTTTGTCTAAAATTGTTTATTAACGATTTTTTGCATAAAATTTTCCTTTTATTTCGATGAGAAATTCATTTCTCTATAAAATTTTTCCTATGAACTATACCGAAATTTTGCTTCGTTTTCGTGCAAAAAACTGCAAAAGTGCTTTTTCACACATATTTTCAATTTCAACCCTCTAATTTAATAGCACCCCACAGTTTTTTCATTTTCAATGACCCTTCCAACAAGTCATGTGATGAAAATCCTTGAACGTCTTATTTCCTTCCCTTTTTGCAAAAAATGAGAAGTAAAACGTATAAGTGTAAACGCGACGAAAATCGAAAAATTTTGAGCGGGCATATATCAGTCAATTTTCATCCAAAAATACTCTACAATCTTTTGTTTTGAAGGAAATTTTATCAACTTTTTGTTCTATGAAGCAATGCCTATACCTATCTCTGCTCAGAAGAAAGTTATTTGCATAAAAGTAAAACAAAAACAAAAAATTGAATTTTTTGCATGTTTTTGTTTAATTGTTTTTAATATATTTTGCAATAAATAATTTTTTTAAATAAGCTATTTCGATAGAAAATGTCACTATTTACAAAATTTTTCCTATGCAATACCTTCAAATTTTGCTTTGTTTTCGAGATATACTCAAAAAACCGTAAGGGTTGCATTTTCTCTCTATTCTAATTTCCACCCTCTAATTTAATAGCACTCCAAGGTTTTTTCTTTCTGAATAACCATTAGAACGATTCACTCAATAAAAACCTATCAATGTTGTAGTTCCTTAGTACCCTGCTTTTTAAGACATAATCAATAGCCTGTTCATAAAGAAAAACCTTGCACTAATTGAAATTTTTATTTTTACTTCCTTAATTTTTGTCCCTCAAAATTAATTTCAATGGACTGTTGAATTAAGAGTGCAATAAAAGTTTGATTACCATATTAGAGAGACCTTGAAACAAATTGAACTAAATTATTAAATACTGATTTGTAAGCAATTATCAGTTATAATTTTAAAAGATACTCTGCATTTTTTTCTATATTTATTGGGTATTTTTTCACCAGCACACAAAAAAGAGATAATGAATAACGAATGGAAAGACGAAGAAAAATTGACAGAAAATAAAAAATAGAAAAACTGTAATAAACGAATAATTTTTCCATCATTTTTATTAGAAAGTGCTGTGTACAGAGTTTGATAAAGCAAATGGGAACATTCAAAAAATGAAATAAAGTTGGAGGTCTGATTATTAGCTCTTCATAGGTCAAATGAAGAATATTTGATTATTAAGAAAATAATTTGATAAAATTCAAGCAAAATTGGTACATAATACAAACTGATATTTGACTAACTAACTTTAAAATTTTGTATATTTTTCAATAAAAAATTACTAAAATTGTCTCATCACCTATTATCCGAAATAAATATTATTCGAAAAAATTATATTACAATCAGAACAACCAGCCACTTCTGTATCAATATTATCTTTTAGTGACGACAGAACTTAATTGTTACGTCTGACAATGAGTTTGTAATAAGTTATGTCAAGAATGGACTATGATAACATTCCTTGGTACATATTTTTGTCTTGATTTATCTATATTTTATAAATTTCTTTAATTCCGATATATTAAAATTATGTTAAAATATGCGTAATTTACATATCGGTGTAGGTAGAAAATTTTTCCCCTTTTGATTAATATTAATATTTAAAATTAAATATTTAAAACTATTAAAATTGCATAACATATTAGATCAAAATATTTGGTTATTACGTAATAAACTAAAAAAAATCTAACTCACATTTCAAGGCGATAGAGATTTTGCTCTAAATGACCGTTGATTGCGGTACTCAATCAATCGACGGGCTTTTTGAATATATTATTCAAGAATACCTACAGTACATTTTAGTTAAAAATGTCATATAATACTCGTCTTGTTAAGGTTCAAATCTAAACATCAGTAGAAAATTAAAAAAAATATTTTACATGAAACCTTCTAAAGAACAGTTGGTTTTTGCTATACTGTCCGAATTTTATGACATAGTTCATACAATAAAAACAGTTACAGTAAGTTTCTAGAGATGTTATATTTTTAACTCTATTTACTTTATTAAAATAATTCAAACAATTTGTTTTTAAACTATCAAAGTTAAGCAATGTTGTTCAGAAAAAATATCTAATTCCTAAGACAATACTTCTATCTGCTGATACAGTAAACAACTGCTCTCTGGAATTGGTTTACTGCGGATTCCAGTAATAGCGTACTATACTTGCTGAAATATTTATGTATGTTATTGAGAGTTTTTCGTTGGTTGGTCCTGCGTTTTCATCTGAATCTGGTAACTCGAGACTTTCAGCTGTGTTCTTTTTGTATTAGACATGTATTGTTTCTTTATTGTTAAATTATAGACCACTTTTGTATCAGCTGCATAATTGTAGTGATACCAGGGCAATTCGGAAGCTAGATTTGGAATCCAGATTTGATCCCGAGCTAACAATAGTTTGTAACAATAAAAATAACTATTGAATGTAAAAATTTAGTTTAAATTATTTGTGTATACCATTGGTTAAAAAACATACATTGAGCTGTCTACAAGTACCGATGTGTAATTGTTTAGGTATCGCAAATATTCGGGGTTGACGATGGATCTTATCTCTTCTGAGTGATTGCCATTCGGCTTTTTCTGGGATGATCTCGGTTTCTGATTTCAACTACCTCATATATTTGATGGTCGTTGAGTGGTTTCTGTCAATTTCAGGCTGATTTTCCAGGAAATTTAAAACTTCAGTGATTTTCTTGACGATCCGCAGCGGTCTTCGTCTTGTTGTGTCTGGAGCAGTTTTGGCCTCCGGCGATTGAATTCGAAACATTCGTGAAAACTTTGAATCTCTACCGTTGTTGTCTGGGTGGTTTATACTCCAGTCGAATTAGAGTTTGAACGTGAAAAAGTTATTAGTAGACATTTTATTGCACTATGACGGGGAAGGGTATGTAGAATGATAATATCAAAAACGTAAAGTGACATTAAGTTGACAAATAAGTGGCAAAATTACATATGTTTTCACTTTTTTACTGTCCATGAAAATCTAGACAACCTATCGAAAAATTAGTAATTTTATGTTGTATTACCTACAACTTAAGGTGTGGCATTTGAATCTGACTCTGTCGCAGAACAATAAAAGCTAAAATATTTTAAAAAAATATGCAACTGGCTCAAAATTTACAATACTACTATTTGCTTTTTTCATAAAAAAATTGTTTATTAAAATAAACGCATTACTGTATTCAAATTTTAGTGCACAGGATGTTCAGAATGTAGGAAAATATGGAACAGACCGATACAAATAAGTTTGCATTCGCCTTCAAGTAGAGCTGCGAGAAATTGAACTGGAGCTTTCCCTTGTCGCGTCCAGTGCGCATTTCTGGGCGGAACTATCTCAGACGTAAATTTATTGTTATCGTTCTTGTATTTATAGAGCATACGCTTATACCGATTTATAGACGTTCTAGATTTAGGTAGATGTTTTAAGTTTAAGAATATGCATAAAATTATGTTAATTCTTTTTAACCAAAATTTAATAA